TGTTATAAAAAAAACATCTTAGCACTACCATATTCTCTCCCCTCTAGGTATGCTTCTTTTCCCTTTCTCCCCTCCAAACCTGCTTCTATGCACATCGTTATCTCCACTCCATATTTGCTTTTCTACCTCTCTCTCCTCCATATATGCTTCTCTGTTCAACTTATTGCTCATTCTCACAACGAATTCTCTAAACGAAATGAAGTAACGAAAAAATTTAAGACACATTCCTCAAAACTCTTTTTAGTTTTCCAAGCAGCAACACCAAATGGTGAAGTTGCTGCTTTCTATATGAATAAAATTAGGTTTCTTATATAATATAAAATTCTAAATCAAACAAATGTATAACCTAATTTAGAGTAATAGATCACAGAAAAAGAATTGTTGTGTAGGAATATGCTCATACTTTAGGAATGAAAGTGTAAGAATAAAGGTGTTACTATCAAGATCAACTTGCACATTCTACTCTTTATCTCTTCCAAAATCGAGATTGTAACACCCACTAATTTTATAATTTTTATTATTTTTATTTTGATTTTTTTAATTTATTTTATTTAGTTTATTTTATAATTTTTGAATTTTAATTGATTTATTTAATTTAATTAAATTAAATAAAAATAAAAAATAATAATAATGATAAAATTGGGTAAAAATATTATTTGGATTTAATTGAAATTGGTTTTGAAAAAAGGGGTGAAAATTAGGATTCTGTGGGTATTTTTGAAAAGAAAATCAGAAACCGGAGGTCAAAACGCAATTTAGAAAAATTGTGTTCCGTCAGCGCCACGTCAACAGCCACGTCAGCAGCCCAATCAGCAGCCCTGGCCAACCAGGACCTGCCGCATGGCAAGACCATGTCGACCCGGGAACGGGCCACGTGGGCGATCCGCGTGCGCGCGATCGGACAGTCCAGATGCGTCCCCGTGCGCACGGACGGCCTAGATCAAGCGTGCGCACGGACGGCCCAAATGCACGCGCACGGACGGCCCAGATGCACGCGCACAGACGACCCAAATTCAATCAAGTACGAACGGCCCAGATTTAATCAAGATGGACGACTGTGATTAAAAGGCAAAAGGGTATAAATAAAACCCCCACACCTGACCACAAAAACCCAAGACGAACAAGACGCCGGAGAAGACGAACAAGACGCCGGAGGAGCCGGCCGCCACCACCCGCCGCCGCACCGGGGAGTTTTCCGACCGCCGATCGAGGTAAATTTCGTACCCCCGGCTCGTTTTTCAATGCTGAGTTCCCCTGTGGCCAAATCGGAGCCAAAATCATGGCCAAACGGCCGAAAAACACGGC